TGAACCCCGCCGTGTAAAGAAGTGGCCCGCAAGTTTTCTTTTTAAATTCGCTTCCTTCCTTCGCCTATTTTGGAACTCCTCATTCATCGTCATTATACACAAACAATACTTTGTTAATTCAGTAGTTGACTTCGTTCAGTAGTGAATTTGGATTTTCAGTAATAATATTAGCAATAATTCATTCATGCTCAAGTTCGTTAGGTTTTTGTAAACGATTAGAACTTAATATGCAATCGAAATTTTCAATATGAATGCTGACGTAATATATTTATGTATATATATATGGAAAATTATTTGAAATGATTTGTGATATAATATTTGTTGAAATCATATTGACAATATATGATGCATTTCAAAGCAGTCAAGATAAATTATCAGAACATTGACACTACTTTACGAGTGTTGGTATTGTTATATTGGTGGACTCTACTTTAGTTTCGTACCATTGACACTATTTTTTGAAAAACCAATATCCATTCTTGTGGTGAAACAGTTTTCATTTCCTCAATAGTGACAAACAATAAAGATTTGGAAGATGTTATTGCTACTTGACAGTATGTGACTCATGAATGATGATAGCCAATTCATCACTTTTTTTAAAACGACCCGAAAAAAACTGTGTTCGATCATATCCCAAGAATTCATTCTTCGATTTATATCAATAGTGATGTCAAGCTCTTTTGCAATATTCAAGAAGCGTTTCCTGATAACGCATCATTCATGTGAGAAGATGGTTCTATTAAAAATGTAACTGAATTCCGATTCTTTTTGGCAATTGAACACAATTGAATTGAAACCACAAAATGTTTTATTAAGCATCGACTATTTATATTGATTCGTTTTACTTCTTATGACACGTTATTGTAATTTGCAACTTGTCGATTTAACGTTTTATACTTTATTAATTATTCTCCAATCTTATTTTTACTTGTAGTTCTAATTTTTCCAAGACTAACAACTCAAACTTTTCAAACTCAAACCTCGCCATTGGTTCATAAAAGAATATTCCCGTCTATACATAACGTGGACATATCTTGCAAAAAATTTCTAATAATTATAATTTATTGCGACAAGACGTCAGGCACATTGAAAACGTTCATTCCGCAAAGAATTTGGAATTTTAATAATAATAATAAATTAATATAATTTACTAATATTAAGTACGCCAGGGATGTAAATGCGTAGAGCTTGACATCATACCGGAATTTTCAATATGGATGCTACTGTTATATATATATATACACATAAAATTTCCGGTCCCGGTGGTGTTGCAAAATTGATACGCCTCGCCCACCAGAAGTCATTGTAGTACTGAACATGACCCCTAGCAAGGGCGTACCCTGGGCATGGCACAGGGGACAAGTTGGAGTTGTACAGATTGCCCAATGCAGCGGCGGTTAAATTAGTCGCAGCGCCAGCGGGCAAAAGAAAATGGCCTCACTCGTCGGAACTATTAATGCCATCCAGCCAAAACTCCGCCAATGTCAATCTCTCCTTTTCTTTTCACTACCGACACAATACCAGGCGGATGGCATATGGGGTACAGGTGTCCCTATCTGCGTGACCTTACTACCGTATTAATATACACACACACGTCAGCGGAGTGAACCCCAACTGACTCCTCGAAGATCAAAATGCACACAATATATTGGGTATTCATGTAGTATGTGAACCAAGGTGGCGGGCACCGGAACGTAGTATGTGTACCAGGTTTAGGTCATAATCAAAAAAAAAAACGGGGCAGTGCAGATTGGAAAGCAGTTTGTCCGATTCCGAGGCTTAGCAGTATTCAACACGATTCAACTCATGCGAATAATAATAATATTCAAATCATTGGAAACGTGCACTTTTTATGGCAATTCGAATAATTTAACTGCATTACAGCTGATGGAATATATACTAAATTGACGTATTCAACATATAATATTGGTTTCCTCTCTCACTACTGAACTATTGAAGTGAGTCGCAAATCAGTATTAAATGGACTGTCTCCATTAACAACAAATAAATTTGTATTGATATTAAATATATAAATTATTTATCACTGCCAGTCTGCCACCGTATTGTACGTGATATTTGAGTCTACTTACCGAGTGGGATAGGGGCTGGGACGGTCCCGGGCAAACCGGGACGTATGGTAAGCCTATATTAATACAAACGAATTATATAAAATTAAAACCCATAGTTACAATCCAGATATGCCACAGTATATTACAGTGATGACCGAACATTCGAAAAAAATACACTTTCTGCTTTGACCAATATTTGGCCACGACTTTGAACGATACTGCTCTACAACTAACAACATGACAAGGGGGAGGAGTTGGCCACGATTTGTTTCCAGTATATCACGTTTAGGTGCGTCATCTCGTTTATCAATAACCTCCTCTGGTTTATCGCGCCTCCCTTCACACTGAAAGTATTGTTTTGTATGTGATTCGTAGTTATTTTTGTCTATTGTGTACTTTTGGTATGTGATAAAATAAACTACTGACTGACTGACTATCAAATTCGACCATTGATCCACCCCCTTATATCAACCGACCCCGTTTTGCTAAATTGTGAAAAATCGTTATGCTACACAAAATCAGGACCAACCGTTCACAATTACGAAATTTGAACGTTCGTAATGGCAAGAGTGTGCTCCTAGGACAGGATATACAAACCTTCGGGACGTTAAATGCTATGGAAAAAGTTTTCCTTATACAATGCTTTTTAAACGCCTCGTCAGCCTTTCCAAATTTTATTAAAGTAAATTTGTATCATCGGAAATCTATCTTCGGTTTTATAATTATGTGTTCTCCATCGGGTCTCGTGTAGTTTCGTACCTAACGTACTTCTAGTGGGCTTAGCATGACAATTTTTTCACGTATCAATCCTAACCCCCACCTGACTACAACATCCAAAAATTACATCATTACGACGTCACAGTGACGTAATAGAGCCTTTCAAACTATATGAACTGCCATCCAAGACGCGCGAACGAGCACCCGAAATCGAATAAGTCATTTCTCTCGTTTTCTCGTCGCAACGATTCCAATAGGAGAGAGATCGGTAACGTCACTCAGTTCTTTATCGTCGACGCCAATGACATTTCGGATGATGATACGTATATTTGGCAAGCTCTATGCCGTGATTGTGATGTCGTAGTGACGTAATTTAGGATTGACATATCAAAAAATTGTTATGCTACGCCCACTAGAAGTACGGTACGTTAGGTACGAAACTACACGAGACCCTTCGCCATCTATTGAACATCGGGTTTTCAGATCGTTATGGAGTGTTTCAAAAGTGCTACTATTATTACATTTGTTTTGTACCACTGTGAGCTAGTCTGGCGAGTGATCGAGGGACTCGCACGAACTCGGTACCGGTACCGGTACCATGGTTAACTGAATATTCAGTCATGTTGGTATCGTATGGCAGGTTTAAGCGTTTTTCTCTCTCTACGACTCTACGCCTTCCGCGCAGGTAATGTAGTAAATGTCATTTATGCTCATTCGCTTCTGGTACCGTTGCGTACGACTGTACGAAGCCCGAAGGGAATCAGTTAAAGTTAGTTCTTGTGTGACTGTTTCAGCTGTCAGGCGCCTGGTCAACGCTGTACCACAATACAGTGTAGTATTGGCCAGCAGATAACTGGTTCAGGTCTGTTAGCCTGAATATTATATTACCGTAAGCTCGGCTCAGCAGTGTCTGGTTGTTGTCTATTGTCTGATCGTGCTGCCTGCATTGCTAAGCGTTGGGAATACGTTCTCCAACGCACCTCTGATTGGTAGGCCTACCGGTACTGTACCTATTCAGGCGAACCACGGCCTCTCGTTCGGTTACCAGTCCAAGTCGGGTATGGAATTAGTTAGCCAGTTATTTGTTTTCGGAAGCAAGGCAAGTCTCTGCTTCCGAAAACAAATAACTGACTAACTAATCCTATACCAGTACCCGACTTGGACTAATAACCGGACGAGAGGCCGTGGTTTGCCATATGATTAAGCTGTCTTATCGACTTTCCTCTCCCCTGGAATAAATATGTAAATCCTATCCAGCGTGGGTCTGTCGGTTGGCTTCGAATCATGTGGCTGTGGGGGGGATAATCAGGTGCGAGAGGATTGTCTGATTGTTGGACACATCGACACCACAGGATCATTCGTATATGTAACCGCTGGTCTGTCATGGCTTTCTTCATTGTTCAGGAGGCCATGAATGTGAAACAAATACGGTAACTGGCTAAGTAATCCCAATCCCACGGTGCATTTCCTGTGATTTTGATTCCTACACTGATAGCAAGCCCCTAGTTAACAAAGTCGCGCCAAACTTCATGGAACAGTAGAAGGCTTTAGTCCGTGGGGAATGATGCACTGTCTAAATCGGAAGTGGGTATTGCGTGAAAAAAGGTTGACAACTGCTGAACCACATTCTTCAGACATAGATAGGTCAAACTGCAACAGTATCTCAGATAAATAGAATATGAAGAGCTAAATCAGTAACTATTCATCGCTTCGTATTTCAGGAAATGTTCAACAGTATGTATAATCGACACATCTAGATCAATGTTCTTCAACTTTTTTTATCGTGGTAGTCTATACCTTTTACAATTTTTCAAGAACTTTGTATACCTTATAAATACCAATGTTTAAATATGGCTTGAATAAACATTAAATTTTAAGCATATATTGTACTGCAATATCATCATGCAATCTAATAGGATAGGGTCTGCAAGTTATAAATTTGACTGACGGCCTTAGCGTCAATGGTAATAATGTTCAACGTAAATCTGTAAATCAAACGAAGTGCATGGCAGCCGAAATCACCAACTCAGATACGTGACCGCAATATTTGTATAATTTGTGATGTAACAATGTGCTCATGTCGTTTTTTTGCGTAAATGACATTTTATATTTCATGTGCGCTGCGTTTGCATTGTTGTCTTCGCTTGAATATTTTTAAATTTGATATATTAGAGTTTAGAATCCCTGACTTGGCTGTACACCCTTTATCAGTTGTATACCCAACTTATAGTCCGGTATACACTTGGGTATACTGTATACCCAGTTGAAGAGCACTGATCTAGACACACTCTATTTTCTGTAATGTTTTTAAGAAAACCTGAGATCATATTGAAAACTGCCATATTTCGAATAGCCTCTTTCTAGCCACATCATCCAATGCTTATGTTGACTGAAAAATTGATCATGTCCATTTCATTAAACTATGTTTGAAATGCAATTACTTTTTAGCCTAGTGTATTTTTAAAAATTATATCAAAATGTTTTTGTATAACTGAGGCATAACAAATTATCATGTCAAGTGTTGTTGAGATAGATCAAGGCATTGGTTCTGGACATATGCAACTTGCCTGCAATAACGGTTGTAGTAGAGATGATGTGTTTTCAGGAACTCAAGACAATGATCAAGTATCAGACTTGAGCAACAAATTTGAGCAGTTACAAGCTGCTGATCAGAGCCACCAAGCATTAACGAACTTATGGAACAGTTGGAGCCACACTCCTAATTATGTTAATGCTGTCCAACCTAAGTATGACATTATCAGACAGCCTAATCAATGTATGTTTGTTGAAGGTGTGTCAACGATTCATACTGGAATTAAGGATTTACCTGAGAAAAATAATATTATAAAAACCAATATAACGACTTTATATGCGTGTCGGACTGCCTCTGATACATTAATAGAAGGCATTAGAACATCTGTGCAGCAGCTCCTTTCAAATGTTCCCAGAGTGGTAATTAATGGCCCTTCTGAAAATAGCCTTGTGCCTGCCAGCAGTGATTATATTCATAACGATAGCTCACAAGAAGGAACCAAAATATGGTTTGGAAGCCATGGTGTTTACTCTGGTGGTGGGAAATATACAGAGAGACACAGGAGCAAAACATATTATCGTCCTTATTGCTTAATAAGCAGACGTCACTATTCTTGCCAACCCTTATCCATCAGGCGAAGGAGATATGGTGTGAGTCAGAAGTAAGTTTTGATTAATTTTTTCTTCATTTTGTTATTGTTATTTAATTTTTCATATTCCTTGAAATGATATTTTCTAGTCCAGTAACAACAAAGCAGAAATGTCAAATAACAGATATTTATTTGAAAAACACATTTTGCATGAGAATGCGTTGTATACCATATGCTTTTGGTGCTCCAGAAGTATGTGTACCAAATGGAGGTAACTAATTTTGTTCGCCTACTTTACATCAAGTTGTGTGAAGACCTATGGGAAGGGGATATATTCACTTGGCTAACACAAACAGTCCCCGAACTCGTAATAGAACTAAAATAAGGAAAATTGGAATAATATTATGACCTAACCCTAACTTGGTACACATACTACGGGAGTACCGGGATTTTTGTTGGGATATTGATGGACATTGATCAAAATTTAATTTCATGCAATACAATTTGCTGTAGCATATGTTCATGTCATTAACATAATTCTGTAATTAGATAAATGACACCATTAAGAAAATGATTTACAAACAGATAATTTTTAATTCAGAGGGAACAGTGAGCAAGGTGTTGATGAGTTGACACAGCTTCTCAGCAAAATGGGCACAGCAGATAGCAATCAACGGAAACTTGTAAACTTTAACAAGAAGGGTAAATTGCAGTATTCTCCCCCTCCAAAATATTACATGCTCAGATACCGGCCATGTACGAAACTTACAAAGATAAAAGAAAGATCCAGGTCACTGAATGATCTGTCTTTTCAAAATTTACAAATTCAAGGTGCTGAACCAGGTAAAGTTCAAAACCTTGAACAGGAAGGTTCCAATGATGCGAAACCCACTTGCCCCCCTAACGATCAACCCAGTGTGCTATCTTCTGTCAATATAACTAAAGGTGGTGCATCAGGATCACAAATTTGCCAAATGGTTTCTGGGATTGGCAAACTTAGTATGTTGGACTAGTAGTTCTTCACCAACAAAACTTTTGATGATTCATGTGACATATCGCCGGATGAGAACAGAAACAGGCCAAGTTACAATTTTGAGTTTTGAGAAAAACAAAAAAAAACATTTTTGAATTTTGTTATTTTTGTATTCTAGAAATTCACACTTAGTAAAGACTAGAGCTCTGGTTATTTTAATGTGGATGAGAATATCTTTGTAATCAATATATTTTGGCACTTCCTTTCTGTTTATTTACCCCATAAATGACTTTGGCCCATTCTGTTTTCAATAATGTCTGAAATTTTTCGTGCGAGATGCAAGGTAAAACCAGGTGACTTAGGCCTAAGTTGCACGGACCAAACTCTTAGAAATGTAAGTTTCGTACATTTTATTTCCGATGTCCATGCCCATCATATTGGAACTTAGGCCTATTCTGTTCTTAACTTATAGTAAATATTATAGTCCAGCTAAAATTTTTAATATTGAATAAAGTGAATTTCCCAAAAATGTGACTTAGGCCCCTTCTGTTCTCATCCTGCAATATAAGGGGCAATCTCAGATTCAAGATTTTGTCACATATTTACATTGTGTCTCACCAATAGCTTTCAAGGCTGATGTTGTATGTGACTGCTCTTGCCTTCATATTTCGCTTCACAAATTTACCATTTTGCTTTTTCTGTGAGTGCTCTTATATGTGATGGTACTTGATGCTAACTTGTTTGATAATGCTCTGGATTATTTACATTTGCACATCATTTTAATTTGCAACAGTTTTCATATCAAGTACAATTACCTGGATTTGTTTTGCTTGTGTTTCGGTGCCCTACCATGTTAAATTAATAATAGGTTGGCTTTCTGATTTTAGTTCACTAAATGGGTGAGGGGCAAATTACATTTACGATTTTCCACTGTATTGTTAAATAAAAGCTTCTTTGACAGTTATGGTGAAAAACTGGATTTTTCATTCAATTATTACTACATTATCTTGTATTCTATACTAAACAATATTGTGTGTCACTGTGTTGCATTATATTACAGCATTAATATATATTATCAGATGAGAATTAGTCTGATCAGTTGCAGAATGTTTCTTGGGGTTGAACATTTTTTCGCAGCACATTGTCCACCATGAGTTTGAAAGCAATTTCTAAATCATCCTGTCCGAACATCTCGGTATTGTAACGCCAGGCCTGGAGCTGTCACATTTGGTGGAGCTGGAGCCAAACTTACCATTTTCGGGAGGGTTGTGGCCGGAGCTGCATGGAATTTTAGTGGCCCCAGCTCCTATTCACATTATTAATTGTTTAGTACTGCTTACAAATAATGAGATTTAATTCTAATATTAATTTAAAAGTTCGGAGTTGAAGTTTTAAACTCGCGACCTTCCAATATCGTTTTTAGTGTTTATAGAAATATGGAATATCGGACACATCCTAACGCCGCCGTCCACGTTTTTATTGAAAACATTTACAGTTATTTTTTATGTTTTTGCCGTAATCTTGCGTCGCGGCAATAACAAGAACGCGGCAGTCGACTAAAATGCTTTCAATCAGCGCCGACTTGAAGTACTTATAACACTTCGAGGATGTTTTTGATTGAAATTATTTCATAATGATTATCGCATATTTCGAGATAGTCTGGGCGGCCACGGCAATAAATCTACAAGCAAATTGTGTCGTAATTAAGTATTTTCATCCTCAGTTTCGATAGTGATTTAGGTATTAATTTGAAGGCAAAAAACGTAACAACCGACGTACATGAATTATTTAAATCAACGCCGACTTGAAAAATAAACGCGATTTTCGATATTCATACTCCGTTATTGGCGATTGAGAATCGGTCGTTGTATAATTTGCGTTTTTCTGAACAAACTTATCGGTAGTGGTGAGCTGTAGCCGGAATGCACCGGAACAGCGTTCCGATTGTTAGACATTTTACTGCATTTGCGTTCCTGTTGTTGAAATAAAATTGTGGTACAAAAAGTCTAGTTTCTCTGGTAAACTTGTTATTAATTTGTTTTGCTACATCATATTGAGTCTTTTTACGTCACATCACGCAAATAATTAGCTCATTAACAGCAGTAACGTGTAATAGTTGTTTCCCCGACCTTTGACCCCATGAAAATTCATTCTATACCGTTCTAATAACGAGAGAGCTATGCTCAAATATATGGACACATAATATAGAGTAACATAATTGTGATGACGTCATAGCGAAAGAAAAAGTAATAGCCTTCTGTAGAAAATTTTTATCTTTAACCACTGAAAATTTCAAAGCAATGGACCTTTCCCCGACCTTTGACCCCCGAATAATTCTCCCCATACTTTACCATTGCAAAATTTTCGGGGCTATTTTAAGAGTGCTTTTGCGAGTTGGCACCTGTAAAATGGGGTATGTGTTACAAAACATCATTATGATTCATCGCATACAACAATCTTTTTTTTAAAAGTACCGGTAAAGAATTTCAGGCTAGTCTATCACAGCTATTTCTACACTAATTTTTATTACTGCAATCAAATTAAAACTCCTAGGAAGACAGAGTGATCATTGAATTATCTGATTTATATTTAAGTTTCCGAAACACAACTGAAAACTAACGAATAGAGTTCAAAAACGCGAAAACGAGGTAATGTTTACAACCACACTTGAAAATTTGTCCGAGTGAGAAAAGTGTCTTGAGCGGATGCGAAAAGGGGGCATTGTTACGTCACTTTTTGCATCTTGCTGATTGGCCAATGTCACGAAGTAAACAAGGAAAACAATGCTCGGGGAAAGGTCCATTGGTCCAGTATTCGAAGAGAAAAGCGATTTCTTCAAAACGTGTTGACGGAGACAAATAATAAGAATAACAACAAAATTTTTTAAACGATCGTTCTGTCCACTACGTGTCCAATAAGATTTTATACAAACATTTTTGATATAATTTCTTTGCAGTTAATTGCAGTTCTGTAAACGTCCACGTCGTGTTGTGAATATATAACATTTTTGCGAACTAGGTGCGTTCCGGTTATTACGATTTTTCCAGCTCATCACTGCTTATAGCCCATGGTAGCACAATAATGAATACCTGTGTAGAGATATAGTTGGGCCCGAATTTAGCCCAACCATGTCGATGGACTAGATCAGTTGTTCCCAACCTTTCTACTCTGGCGGAACGTGAAAATTAAATAAAATGTACTCGCGGACCGGCAAAAATTGAAATGGGCGGAACAGAAAGTAGTAACCTATATTTGCGTTATATCGGGCTATCACTATGCTTTCAGAAAAAAAGGAACACTTAATATATTTCACATAAGTAAAACCTATCAAATAATGTGCCGGCCAAATATTTAAATGGGTGGAACATAAAATAATAACATATATTTGCGTAATAAAATGCAGTTCTGGGCACCCATTATACGCAACAAAGTCACACATCTCACATAAAAAACATGTACATGTCAAATCATGTGCAAACGTAATAATTTACTCCAGTAAGAATTTGCTTCTGTTTCGTTTCCAATACAGGATCGCAAGCGAGGCATCAAAAAAAAGTTTTGCAACACGTAGCTCTACAGCGGCTCAGAGTCAATTTATTTGCTTCGTTTTAATTAAAGCAAGGAGTAACTGGTTGAAAATTCGGACAACAGTTTGATTGCTCGATTACTTCACGATGGGTTATCAAGAGAGCTCAAGAACGAATTGTGACAATGATTCTTTTATAAATCTAGACTGTGAAGTAGAGGTTTCATCGAGTTCATCATATCAATTCCGCTGCAGTTGATCGATGCCCCAAACAAAATCAATTTATATGACAATGATAAGATCGTTGCTAACTTGGCACCAGACTCAAAATCCTTCTGTGCACCGCCCGGGAAATATCTCAGCGGCACCCGATTTTGTTGCGCGTCTCGTGACCACCTGCAGGGTCACAACAAGTTCGCTGTTGCGAGTTTCGCTGGGTGTCATGGAATATTATACTGTTCTTGACAGTTTTCCGGTTCAAACAAGGAAATATCCATAACCTTTCATTTGGATGGTAATATTAATCAAGAAAAGTATGCAGAACGGAAAAAGCACGCATGCTGATTTACAGGTTTCTGAATCTTGCGAGATTTGACGGAGCGCTTTCGCGATGGGATAGGATTTACATATTTATCCCGGGGGGGGGGGGGGAGGAAAGCCGATAAGACGGCTTATCCATATGGCGAACCACGGCCTCTCGTCCGGTTACCATTCCAAGTCGGGTATGGGATTAGTTATATTGTTTGTTTTCAGAAGCATGGACTTGATGAATCGGAACCGAAAAGTGTGATCACTCGGCGCCGGTGATCACGACGTCGCCGGTCCATACCGCACGTATCAAAGAGCAATACGGCGGCGGAAGAGAAATTGCGTAATAAACTAACGTAACTTCGTATTTTCGGCTTCGGTAAGGCGATTGAGACGGTAGAAAAACAACAAAATGAAAACTCCCGCGATCCGGCACCGGTCTGCGGACCGGCGGTTAGGAACCACTGGACTAAATGACACTCGCGCAGTCAATAAACAGTCAGAATTTATAACAAGTATTAGTCGTCTCAAAAGTGTGTGTGTTATTAATAAGAACTTTGATTTTACTATATGATTTAAAACACTTCACTAGCCGCCTAGTTGCTCTTTTTTTTTCTAGTCAAGATACACCACAATTCATAAGTATATATAGATACTGCGATGTTTATTAAGTCTCTTTTCTTAAAAGCAAGAATATCACTAATTTCAATATCACACATGCCATTTCTATTCACGACTGCTTTACAATGATAATACAATATTTATTAAAGTTTAATTCCCATGTTCCTGGAATTAGGAAAAGTAAATAAAATGTGGGGGATTTTAGAATGTATTCGTAATTCCAAATTCGAAAATTATTTTTTAGACTGTATTCGAAATAGTCAAGTATTCAGTTGTGGCCATCCCTGCTTATATGACAGTCTGGAGTCCTGCCTCTGTGAAACTGCATTTGGGCTCATGTTCCACGGTAGTGCTCACTCCTACAAACCTCAAGTACGGACAGTTGAATATACTGTGGCGCTGTAGTCGAAGCCACCACGATTTCAAGCCAACTTCCCAGTCTGTGACACTTCCTGCTTGTGTTTCACACAGCTGAAGAATTTCTGTTTGCAACTCGGAAAATTCGTTCAACAAGGCTATTGAATATCCTATATTTTGGTCTTCAAGGAATGTGGACCATTTATTGGGTATAAGGAAATAATCTTTGTATATTATATCCAACAGAACGAGTATAGCAGGCAGATAATATTAATAATAACAAATGCAAATACTGAAGGTATTGCCACCTCAGCATTACCCTCCCCAGTCGGTCGTTCTGGTGCCATTTTACTTGGGTTATTTTTTTGTATATTGAGTGCTCGACATTACGCAAATATATGTTATTATTTTCTGTTCCACTAATTTCATTTTTTGCTGGTACATTATATACAATTTTACCGGTCCGCCAGGATAGAAAGGTTGGGAACCACCGACCACTGGACTATACAGCATGCCTTTGTTGTTGTGCAATTATCCATTTCGATTTTGATAGCGTTCGAATCTGGCCCATTCACAAGTCACAGTTACAGTGAAAATCCTTGAATATTGAGATGATAATCTATATACTCTTTGAAAATATATGCCACAATGCCGAACGTGCATTCGATAAATTATGCACTTGAAATTTTCATTAGGTATAAGTTGGAGGTGTAAATAGGGTAGTAACTTTCTTTTGTAGTAACTACAAAAATTTCATTCAGCCAATGGGAGAAATGTGTTGCCGAAGCTTTCACAGTATTATGAGTTATACTAAGATATGTCAGCCCAATTCGCATAAAAACGTTCCTTCTCTAAATCTTTAACCCGAGGAGATGATATTGGCACAAGAACTGAAGAAGCTTTATAAAGCTGGATGAAGGCACAAAATGGCTTAATGAAAGCGCAATGGATGTTACACCAATCATTTAATTTAGGGGTCACAAAACTACATTCACTCTTTCTGTTAGTTATGTGTGTTATTTGTCAGTTTTTAGTTATGTTTTCAAATATAATTGTAAATCAAATAACTTAGTTGTCATTATGTCTTTAGTTAGTTGCAATAATCAAAAATGGCTGCCGCAAACTAGCCTAAAATTAGCTATCGATGCCGTACCTGTACAGCTGTAAGCAGCACGTGGTTTATTGTTTTGAATAAAAAGATTGTTTTTAATATGTGAGACAGTTTGTAAGCGCCAACTTTCCAAAACAATCTCAAAATCAGCGTTGAAAATTTTGCAATAAAGTATATAATAGGGAGAATCTTTCAGGGATCAAGGGTCGGGGAAACATCCATAGTCAACGCAATCCGCATGTTCGTGGTGCCGGTATTATGTTAACATGGTACCGGTACCGAGAGGGGTTGGGTCGCCAAGCGCAGTTTTGGATCGTCTTGTCGAAATGATATCCTGTTGACAAAACTGCATGGTTACGGCAGTACGGTACTGCTGACAGGCGGGAATTTGAAATAGCCTATTCGCATGGATTTGTCTCTGTCCATTCCATGTCAAAAGTGATTGGCCTGAAGTGAACGGTAGTCTGATAGTGCCACATTTATTCTATGCCTACCGGTAGTCTATATACTGGTACAGGTGCAATCTGTCTATACATATATATCTAGTGCTACCGGTATGCCATTGGTGGAGCTAAGAAGAAGGACACAATCTTGACTTACATCTGTATATACATAAGTATTGTTCAATGTCATACTTCATGTACTTACATCATGTTGTGAACACGGCCCAGTAGGCTACTTTTAGTGGGCGTAGCATAACAATTTTTGCATATGTCAATCCTAACCCCACCTCATCTAAATTGTCTTCCAAAAATTACGTCACTAATGCATCACGGTGACATAATAAGGCCCTTCAAAGTATACAAACGGGTTCCTTTAATTACCGGAACGGCCCCTTAATAAATCGTATACCGGTAGCCTACAAACTGTCATCCGAGACACGCAGGTCGCAGACGATCACCTGAAATCAAGCTATTTTTCTCATTGCAATGATCCATCTCGATATGAAACAGATTGCTGCCATTAGTGAGTTCTTTATCGTCGGCACAGATGCCATTTCGGGCGGTCGTAGGTTGGAAGGTATACTTTGGCGAGCTCTATGACATGATTCTGTGATTCATCATAGTGACATAATTTTTGGATGGCTCAGTCAAACGGGGGTTAGGATTGACATGTGCAAAAATTGTTATGCTTCGCCTACTAGAAGTACTTGAGGTAAGAAATACACAAGACCCAAAAATATTAAGTACAGTACCACTAGTACAAAAGTCAAAAACTACTGTATTAGATATAACTCAGTGCTGCAGTAGTGATGTAATTCTCTTCATCATTTCAGTTATTGAGTTTTTTTGAGGTGAATTGTTTTGTATTACATCAATTAAAAAATAAGATATGCCGGCCACAACTACTGCTGCTTCTTCTGATGATGGCGTAGTTTTCTGTCATACTGGGCCAAGTCGTGTTGCACCATCACTTTCAAGCTTTGTTTTGAAACTGGAAACCTATTTGAGGATGACCGAAATCCCTTATAAAGAAGAAGTTTCTTTAAAAAAATCTCCAAAGGGAAAAATACCATTTGTTAAGATTGATGGAAAAGATCTTGGTGATACCAATTTCATTATTCCATATTTGAATAAAAAGTATGAAAAAGACCTAGATGCTTCTCTGAATCTGCAGGAAAAATCAATATCTTTAGCTTTCAAAAGATTGATTGAGGAAAACCTGTACTGGACAATGGTGCATTATCGTTGGGTGGAAAATTATTCATCATTTTCGAAAATAATTCCTGTCACAGGCTTTTACAAGAAGATTATGCCAATTGCGGGAGCCATGATCCTCAAACCAAATGTTAAGTCTAATCTGAATGGTCATGGAATGGGACGCCACTCTGTAAAAGAGATTCATGAAATTTCTGCCAATGATTTGAAAGCGTTGTCTGATTACCTTGGTGATAAACAATTTTTCATGGGTGAAAATCCTACTGAAATTGATGCAAGTTTGTTTGGATTGTTGGCTCAGTTCCGCTTCACAATGCCCGAAAGCGAACAGGAAAAGTTGATGAAGGATGATCTTAAGAACCTTGGTGAATACACTGATCGGATGCGTGACAGATACTTTTCAGACTGGGAGGAAAAATTGCTACAAGAAAAAAAAAAAGTGGAAGAGGTTCCTGAAACAAAAAAGGCTGAGAGTGAAGGAGAGAAAAATGGTTCTGGTGATAAAGTGGAAGAAAAAGAGGAAAAGAATGGTTCGGGTGATAAAGTGGAAGAAAATGAGGACAAGAAGGAGGAGGCTCCAAAAAATGGGAGCAAGGTTGAGGAGGTAGCAGGTGCTCAAGATGGAAAACAAGTGGATGAAGAAAAACCTACTGAAGAAAAAAAAGATGAAGCCTAATTTGTTAATTGAATAATATCATAAAATTAGAGGTTCTTACGTACTAATAACATTCCATCTGCCTTGTTGTTTTCTGATGAATATATATTTGTTTTGCTTCAATTCCTTCATTCAAGTTTACTTTTGCAGTATGTTTCTATTGAGTTTGCTAAAATATTTCATTAATAGTATATTTATAATTATTCAAACTGAAATCATTGCAGCAAGATTTTTTTTTCGAAAAATATCTGATATGGCTCATTAGATGTATATTACCTGATTCATAAATCTTATTTTTCTATGCTTATTTTGCTTGCCTACAATTTTATTTACTGTGTTGTAATATCAATTGTGCTTCTGCTCTTTGATAGTTCTTTTGTTTTTGTAATTTCTATGTTTTTGTAATTCATATTGCCATTCCATTATCTCATGAGAAAATTCAATTCCTGCTTTCCTCTGGTACAAGTATACTTTTGCAATGTCATATCAATCATGTTTAAGTAATTGTTTCATCTTGTATAACACCATGTTATCCTTTGTATTACGTAGATGGTTGGCCTCGTTATATAAATGTTTAAATAGTCCTGACATTGCTCAACTGTGTATTCGGCATGCTACCAACAGATGATCCCAAAGGAAAAGACCAGCCTTTATTATTACAAAGACCCCATATTTCATATACTGCAATCTTGGAGCACATGACAAATGTTTACAAAAGACCAAGAACAGAGCCATTCCCTTTCCTGGACAGAGAGTCAAACTTCAGCCTTTTACCTAAAATTACTACAACCGATAAAGTTGTATCCGCTACCATGGAGAGCTGCGTATTCAAAAGTGTTTTAACCTGTGGAGGAGGTAAAATTATTCATTATGTCATGCAATACCCTGGATCATACCATAGTTGTTTCAACAGGTCATCTAGTTCATAATATCCATGTCTGATTGAAAATTATGCTTTAAACTTGAGTCATTCATATCTCTTTTCAACAAATTTCGAACTGTATGGCCCCATAGAAATTTGATTGTTAAAAAGTTTTTTGTGTCGTTTTCTAGCTGTACCATTCACATACTGCTGTCATTAATGCATGCAAATCTTTTTTTCAGGTTATGGCCTTGGAGCAGTGCTTGGTTTATTCATGTATGGAGTGGAATCGCCTGTCACTGATCCATCTAAAATTCCCACTGTGCGAGAAACGATACGTGAAATGAGGACTAGGATGCATTCATCTGGAAAAACATTTGCTTTTGTTGGAGCAATGTTTTCTGCAACTGAATGTGCTTTGGAAACGGTATAGTGATTGATTTGTCATGAAAAATAGATGTTAGGTCTGCTTTATTTTTGTATTACGATATGATCTTGTTGTTGAGTCACAACTCAATAATATTGTGAACTCCTAGTCAAGTCAAATTGCCCTTGCATATGCGGTTACATCCGATATTTAGCCCATGGCTTTGAATGTTAGGAACATTCTCTGCAAGTTTGGGAGATATAATTTTTGTATTTATCTCCATATGGAGGAAGGCTGATATGATGACTTAATCAGTAGTGGGATTCAGCCGGTTCGCACCGTTTCTATAGAACCGTCTCACAGAAATTAATGAGATCACAAACCGGTTAGCATTACTGGTTATTGTCAATGTTCTGTTTTCAACTGAACCGACTGAAAAATATGACTTTTGTGATGAAACTGGCTGACAAATAATTTGAATCCCACCACTGGACTTAATCGAGTGGTGAGTCAAGATCTACTAGTTACCAGTCTGGTATGGGAATGGTTACCAGTTGTTTGTTTCAGATGCATGGACTGGATTATGGTATATTCAATGACAATCGAATGTTGCTCTTACATGAAAACCACTTGGAATTTAGTGGGAATTTAAAGATTCATGTTTTATTTCAGTATCGCGGAAAATCTGACCCAAAAAATACACCTGCTGCTGGGTTTATCACCGGTGGTCTTCTTGGCTTGCGAGGTGGAATTCAAGCAGGATTATTTGGTGGACTTGGATTTGCGGCATTTTCATTCCTTATAGATTATTACCTTTTGCATCGTCATTCATGACACTGTTACAATGATATATGTAAATCTGTCTCAAAAAGAGGTATGTTGCTGCATGAAAACTGAGATTGAGTGGTCATGTGCTGCTGGCAGAATGGTTTCTGAAAACCACAATGGAAAGAATTTTGAGTTTGGATGGCTGGTTCTCCTCCGTTGATTAACTGAATAATAGTTTCTTCTATGACGAATTGTCTCTGTTACTTATTAACTTATTAATCCTTAACCTCAACGCACTGGCAAAAACTGACTGAATGGGAGTTGCAGAATGGATCTTATGAAAGATAACTGTATGCTTCATTCTCAATGCCCACTTTATATTTATAAAGACCCGGTAGCAATATAGTAAAGCCATATGTTCAGTATAAGTATAAGTATAAGTTTATTTCGACTCCATAATCAGCATAACAATACATTTGAAAGATAAAAACAAATAAATAAAAACTGATTATGAAATCAGGGGAGCAAACAAAACCTTAGATAAGGTTTATAACGTACAAAATATAAGATGAAAGGTTTTGCCAAGAGGAAGTGGTACGTGTTTACTCACCTAAAATTATCAAGTTATTTCACACACGCTCACATGCACCCACCAGCCACACACACACACAACCACTGAGAAGTTATTTAAGTAAGAATGAAACGCTATAAATTTAGGGTATACTATACAGTAAACAAAAAAATAAGTAAATAAATACTAGAAAAGAAAATTATCTGCCACACCATATCGATATTTTTGTAATGGTTGCCATTGCCAAATTGATCGATCTTCTAATCGTTAATTAGGTATATAAAAGGAAGATTCTATTGAAAACATATTGCCAAGCTGATTATAGTTGGAGTCAAATGCCAAGTTGCCCAACCAAAGTTGCCAGAATTGGGTGCATGAAGAGGTGGGCGAGACCATTTCATTCCCCAAATTAGAGCCTATTATTGCCAAATTATAGTCCAGATTGTAATAAGTAATTAAGTTACCGGTAACAGTAAAATTACTATAATTAAGTAAAGTAGGATGTGGAAATAAATTGGTTACAAAGGGTGTAAGTGAGGTTTTTCATTTTTGGGTATTGATTTCAGACAAGGATATGGGAATAAGGTTGTTATTTCACAGGATATCGGGAGTCTTTTTTTGTTTTTTTCCTTATGTGTTTTACTTCATTTAATCACTTTGAAGTAACCTGAAAAAAAAAAAAAAAAACTGCGAGTAGATGTTTCAATGATTGGGTGAAGGGGAACGCTCTGAACTATTTATTACAGGCAAAAAATAATTGTTTAATTAAATGGGATGTATTGTCATTATATAGCGATGGATAGATGATCTATGATGACATTCTGCTTGGGACAGAGAAAAATTTTTCACACCATGCAAAAAACACACAAAATTTTACTATCTATACCTTGGCCAACAAGTCAACTCAAACACCATGCCTTAACATAAAACGCATGCATACATAAATGATATAAAAACCACATCCAATTACAATGACCCACAGCAAATTAAAATCTGAAGGGGAGAATCCAACATAGCTCTACTGCTCGCCTAGTTGCAATAATTAGTAACCTTGCAGGAACAATATTGTACTATCTACAACCCTTATACCACCACTCAAACATAAGACCAAGCGTGTATGATAGGGAAATCACAGCTAGAAAAAGATAAAAACACGAGCGTGAAGTGATAGAATGTGTGCAGTTATTTAAAGAAAATATCATCCGAGTACGTTAGCTACCTATATATTTAAAAAAAATATATATATACTCATGCATGTCACAATACCATTTCTTTGGTGCTGGACTAGTTCTGGCCAAGTCGTGGCAAGATATTATTATAGTCGTGGCACAATATTATTATAGCTGTTCAACATTTTCATTAAAACAATAATGTGCAAGTGTGGAGTGTCCCAAGTTTTTGTCATCGAATACCACCAGTAGTAATTTTTAATATTTAATATTTGGAAACTAAATGAGACTTGACTTGTTTTTGAAAAGATATTTTGGACTTTAACGTCTTCAAATTTAAGGGAAGAGAATTCCAAAGTTTGGGTCCAGTAAAAGACAAGGAATGCTGACTCACGGATTTACTCATGAAAGGTACGAATAAATCAGAACTACTTCTTCGGTTGGAGGTATTTTTGACAAGTATGTCATTAAAGCAATTGGGCAGCGCATTATTATGGAAGTCGTGAGCTAGAGATAATATTTCAAATTTCATCATATCTTCAACCTTAAGTATATTTAGTGATTTGTAGTAAGAGTCTACACTTTCACGTTTTCTTTTACCAAAAACTATTCTTAAAAAATTATTACAAATACTCTGCAGTTTTGAGACAAGTGTTTTATTACCACGAAGCCAGACTGAACAACAATATCGAATATGGCTAAGTAGTAATGATTGAAACATTGCTAGTAGAGCTGATTGGTCAACACACTGGGATACTTTGGCAGAAACTGCTAGGTTTCTTTTTGTTTTACCAATAACATGCATTATTTGTGATTTCCATGACAGATTTTCATCAAAGATAACTCCTAGAAATTTTATTTCTTTCACTCTTTCAATTTCATTGCCATTGAGCAGTAGTTTTTTTGAACAACTCACACTTTTATGCTTGCTTGGATGGAATAATACAAATTTAGTTTTGTTAGCATTCAGAGATAATTTATTAACTAACATCCAGCTATGAATGTTGGTTAGTTCTTGGTTTGCAACTGTGAATAGATCTTCAAGGTTTTCCCCATGAAGAATCAAGTTAGTGTCATCAGCAAACATGATCGACTCAGAGGATTTCAGACACCTGGACATGTCATTAATGTAAGCTAGAAAAAATAATGGGCCAAGTAAAGATCCTTGTGGAACTCCGTGCTTCATGACACAAATATTTGTAGAGAATGAGTTGTCATATTGCACAATTTGCTTTCTGTCTTGAAGGTAGCTCTTGATCCAATTGAATGGAACGCCTCTAATTC